GAAGGCAAAAGGTGGCCCAACGAAGTACTGATGGGGTGGTCATAATAATCTGGCCGGTCATAATAATCTGGCCACTCAGTGTATATGCTTTTGGTTATCGTAGCTCTGTAGTATAATTTGAAGTCAGATACCTCCAGCTTCATTCTTTTTGTGCTATCTTTGGCTACTTGGGGTCTTTTGTGATTCCATACAAATCTGATGATTTCTTGTTCTTTAAAAATGACACTGGGATTTTGATGGGGATATTGCATTAAATCTGTATATTTCTTTGGGTAATATGGCCATTTTAACTATGTTGATTCTTCCAATCCATGAACACAGGATATTTTTCCATTTCGTTGTCTTTTTTAATCTCTTTTAAAATAATGCTTTGTACTTTTCAGTATATATGTCTTTCACGTTCTTTGTTACATTTATTCCTGGGTATTTTATTCTTTGTTTGCAATTGCAAAAGGAATTGGTGGGGTATTTTTTATTTCTTTTTCTGAAGTTTTGTTGTTAGTATACAGGAAGGCAATGGATTTTTGTACATTGATTTTTGTATCTTGCAACTTGACTATATTTGATTTTGTTTGTTTGTTTGTTTGTTGTTGTTTAAATCCTCACCTAAGGATGTTTTTTCCATCGATTTTTAAAGAGTGGAATGGAGAGGAAGAGACAGAGAGAAACATTGATGCAAGACAGACACATCAATTGGTTGCCTCCTGCATGCCTCCAACCAGGGCTGGGAGCCTGCAACCAAGGTATATGCCCTTGACTGGAATCAAACCCAGGACCCTTCAGTCCACAGGCTGACACTCTATCCACAGAGCCAAACCAGCTAGGGCTGTATTTGTTTATTGATTCTAACAGGTTTTTGTTTTTTTTTGGTGGAGTCTTTAGGGTTTTCTATATACAGGATTATGTCATCCACAAAAAGTGACAGTTTTTCTTCTTCCTTCCCTATTTGGATGCCTTTTATTTCTCTCTTTTGCCTTATTGCTCTGGCTAGGACTTCCAGCACTATCCTATATAATAAAGAGCTAATATGCTAATTAGACGGAATGGCAGAATGACTGTCTGGACAACCGGACGAAGCCAGGGCTGCAAGGGCCAAGCCCCTTGCACAAATTTCGTGCGTCGGGCCTCTAGTGTTGAATAAGAGCAGTGAGAGTGGACATCCTTGTCTTGTTCCTAATCTTAGAGGAAAAGCTTTCAGTTCATCACCATTGAGTATAATATTAGCTGAGGGTTTATCATATATGGCCTTTATTATGTTGAGGTACTTTCCTTCTATTCCTAAATTATTGTTTTAATCATAAATGGATGTTGTATCTTATCAAATGCTTTTTCTACATCTGTTGATAAGATGATATGATTTTATCCTTTCTTTTGTTAATGTGGTGTAGTACATTGATTGATTTATAGATGTTAAGACATTCTTGTGCCCCTGGAATGAACCTCACTTGATCGTGATGTATTATTTTTTTGATGTACTGTTGTATTCAATTTGCTAGTACTTTGTTTAGGATTTTTGCATCTGTATTCATCAGAGGAATTAGTCTGTAGTTTTCTTTTTTTGTGTGTGTGTAATCTTTGCCAGGTTTTGGTATCAGGATTATATTGGCCTTGTAGAATGTGTTAGGAAATATTGCCTGTTCTTCAATTTTTTGAAAGAGTTTGAAAATGATAGATTTTAAATCTTCTTTGAACATTTGGTAGAATTCACTGTTGAAGCCATCTGGTCCTGGACTGTTATTTTTTGGAAGTTTCTTTTATGATTGTTTCAATTTCTTCACTGTTGATCAGTCTATTTAGATTTCCTAATTCTTCATGATTTAGTCTAGGAAGGTTATATATTTTAGGAATTTATCCATTTCTTCTAGGTTATTGAATTTGGTGGCATATAGTGTTTCATAATATTCTAGTACTAGAGGCCCAGTGCATGAAATTCATG